CTGCTCAGTAATAGTAGCTGGAGTGGCTTGGTGCTTGGACCATTAGCAGATACCTTTTCTAGCCCCATGTAGAAGAGGTAGACAACTGGTGCATATGCTTAACCTTGTGAAAGTGCCTCATATGTTTGTGCTAATGGCACTGCATGTCAGTCCAGTGAATGTCTAGCTGGGCGAGCAGCTGCTTATGTGTCTGTTCTAATGAGCCTGACTGCAGTTGTGTTTACTGTAGTCCTTCATCAGAATTTGATTCTGCTTCTCAGGCCAATTACCAGCCTGTCAGGAGGTCCTGGTACTACTGCCAGAGATGGTGTTACTTCAGGCTGTTCTGATCACTGTGGAGAAGGTTATGAACACGGATCCTGGTTTTCTCTGTTTAAAAATTGCAGATTTTCTGATTTAAGCAAAAACCCCTCACAAATTCTCTGATTAAAACCCCAAAAATCTGTGTGTTTCCTTGATTAAAATGAAATGCCACTGTGTGCGTGTGTGTGTGTGTATGTGTGTCAGTTAAACACAATATTTTTTTTGGTATATTTACAAATTTAAAGCCATTTGGAAGTCTACCAATGTCTCATTTGCTAAAATAAAATAAATTCTAAATTCCTATCAATTTTGGCATTTGATTTTTGGGCTTTTTATCATAGAAAACCAGAGCTTCCCCTGCCACCTTAGCTCATCAGGACACAGGTCCAGCTGTGGCTGCCTGCCCCCCCTCCCCGCTTTGTGGCACTGAGCAGCCCTGTTGATGCCATTGCCCCTCACTCCTGGACCACAGCCCGCCAGCCCTGCTGGAGGGGGCCCCCAGCTGCCAGAGTTATGGAGCCAGGGACCTGGGTCCACAGCCCCATCCATGCCCTCCACAGCAGCACCTGAACCCTGGCTGCTGCCCATGGAAGGCAGCAGCTGCGGCAGAGCATGGAGCTTGGCTTCTCCCCCATGGGAGGCACAGCCGGAGCGGAGCCTGTTGGGCTTGGACGGCGGGGGGGGTCAGAGCAGACGTGGGCTGTCTGTTGTGGACTCATTCTCCCTGCCTTCCTGCCCTTTCCCTGGGCCTCTGCAGCCCAGCAGACAAGACCCAGTGCAGCAGGGCAGAGTGATGCTGGGTGGGGAAGCTCATTGCTGCCACTGGGAGCTCCACACGGCTATGACGAAGTGTCCCCTGCCTGCCTGGCAGCAGCAAGGGGCACAACTTCATACCACCACCCTGCCGCTGCCAGGTAGGCAGGGGTCACTTCACCATGGTGACACCAGCAGGCCCCAGGGGGTTATTAGGTTTGCAGGTGGTGATCACCTACACATTTCACTTCATAAATCTACTGGATACAAAAAATCATGGATTAAATATAGACATTGGATTTATGGTATATTATAACCTGCCTAACCTCCGACTCCCCAGGTAACCTGTCTGCATTTTGTCAGCTATATTCTATCACCAGTTCAACATTCCCCTTTCCCCACCCCTCTGCCACCTACCTGTCTCACCTGTTGTCGCCCGTTCCTTCCGATCCTCGTTGCCACACATTTTCATTTTCACAGACCTGAATTTTGCATATTGGCTTCTATTCCACCATGGAAAGTGCACAATGCCAGCAGGCTTTCCCTATGCCTGAAGAAGGGTGTTTGTGCGTGAAAGCTTGCAAAGAACAATTTTTCCAACTATATTTAGTTGGTCTAATAAAAGGTATCATACCTACCCAAAAAACCTTGTCTCACTCAGCACCTAGCATCAGAATTTGTCTAGGAGCCACCTTGATTTTTAGCGGCCGTAGTCTCTTCTTTAGGTGTAAAGAGAAGATTTCCCCATTCTTGTGTATCCAAGAAGTACATCTGAACCTGTTTTCCAGGTTCAGAAACCGATTGGGTACTGAAAAAGTAGAAATGTTTATTTTTCTCTGTATAGAGATGTGTAGAAGGTTGAGCAGAAACAAGTAGTAATTTTACTAAATACAGGGAATAGTCCCTTTGTTTAATAGATATATTTTGATAACCTTTTTCATCTTAAATATCCATCATGTTTAAGGCAGTTGTATTTACAGAAAAAATGTAAATCCTGTTTCTGCACATTATTTATTTTTCCCATTCAGATAAACACAGATTTCATATAAAAATAACTTGTCATCTAGTAAATAAGAAATATCTCACTATTTTCTCACATCAAAGTAGCAAGCTGAATACATGTATTCTGTGCTATAGCTTCTGCATCTTGTTCAGCAAAGGAAGTAACAAATTAAACAAATCCAGTGAGACTCAGCCATTCTGTAGGAAAATAACTAGAAGTACAAATATAAATTAGGTTTAAAAAGATGGTTTTTAAATGTAGGTCATGCCAATTAATTCAGATGTTGGAGTCTATTTCTGATCTGTCTCCTTCTCTGCTATCTCAGAGAAATAACCAGCTAATGGATCTCTTTTTTTGCTAAGCAGTTATCTTCGTGTGGATTGATGGGCAAGATATTTGAAACCTTGCTAGCACCATCTTAACGTAAGAGGAGAAATTCTAACTTTTGAATGGATGAAAGTCAAATGAAAAGATGGAGAAAAAATAAAAGGGACTCTAAAATTTCTGCTCTAGAAGTGGGTCATGCCTTGAGGTTTTTTATTTAAATGTGTTCAGTGCTTCTCCGGGCCTTTTGGGGCTTTTACGTCTTATAACTGCACTTCAGAATTAATAGACCAGAGAGCTAGGGCTGTGCGAAACGGCACTGTTCTGTTTCGACTTGCATTTCAGCGTTTCAATGGAACAGCATTTCATTTCGTTTTGAATTTCGTTTCTGTTCGAAACTGCTGTTCTGTTCTGTTTAGTTTAGTCTTGTCAAAACAGTTTTGCTGTTTCAACATTTCGCCCATAGGCTATAACGGGGAAGCTTGAAACAGCTTATAACTTTGTCATTTCTGGCCTGATTTGGAGGAAACTTGCAGGAATGGTAGCCCCTTCTGAGGGCAGGAAGCCTGCCAAGGTTCAAGAAGGTAGGTGCTGGGGTTTCTGGGAAACTGCACCTCAAAGTCTTGAAAGCAAAAAACTCATGTCTTGTGTACGTGTTAAGCTACAGCAGGATCAAAATTGCAGGCTTGCTAGCCCCTGCTGAGGCTCCAAAACCTGCCAAGTTTCAAGGAGATAGGGGCAAGGGTTTGGAGGAAACTGCACCTCAAGCTGCAGATGAGCAAAACTCATGACATGGGTGACACTATGTATTAAGGTGCAGCAGGGTGAAAGGTGTGGGCAGGCTAGCCCCTGCTGAGGCCACAAAGCCTGCCAGCTTTGCAGGACTTTTGGGTTCTGGGCCGCTGCACCTCTGGCTGCTGACAGGCAGAACTTGTTACATGGGTACTTGTTGGACTGTGTCCATCTTGGGGCACAGGAGTGAAAACTGCAGGCCTGCTGGGCCCTGCTGCAGCCATGAAGCCTCCTAGCTGTCAAGGAGATGGGTGCAGGGGAGTCTGGGTTCTGGGGCCCTGCCCCTCTAGCTGCTGACAGGCAAAACTCATGATGTGTGGGTGCCACTGTGTGTTAAGGTGTGCCCTCATTCAACTGACACCAAGTCAGAAAGCAGGGCAGTTCAAACAATGCTGCCTTTTATACAATTTCCATCTCTCCCCCAGAGCACTGGGATTGGAAGGGGCCTCAGGAAAGAATGACAGTCACTGGCCAGCTACACAGTCAATAATGAGAGCACTCCTTCCCCCCTCTTCCCCCTCCCTCTCCTTACTTTAGTTTCTGGTTCCCTGCAGGCAAGCCCAGCTTGAGCTTCAAAACTTGAAACATTTAAAAAATTTCGAGATGTTTCAACTTGCCTTGTTTTGTTTCGAGGCTCTTTCGAAGCTTTCTGTTTCGTTTAGATTTCGCTGTTTTGAGCTTGAAACGAGTCGAAACAGCATTGAAACAAAACCACTGGCGAAATTTTGCACAGCTCTACTGAGAGCTCCCAAAATCAAAGTACCAAGTCTCTAGTGAAGTTCCTATAACTATGAGTTTTATTCATTATGTTCACCTACATGGAGTGAAAAAGCACTTATGAGCTCCAAGCATTCTGCTTGAGCACAAAGTGAGCAATATGTAAAGCAGCAGCTTAACAGCTTTGGTTGCTCCAGGATCATCATCAGGAGTCTTGAGATATACAAGACATACATTAAACAGTTAGAGTAAAAACTTCCTGGCTGACTTTTTTTTTAATAAATAATAATAATAATATTACCTAAATTCAGGTTGCAACAAATCAGTTCAGATGTACATATTTATTTCTTGATTAGCGTAGATCAACAAGTTGTTTTGGGATTGATTTCTGTCCCTTTCAGAATATTTGTTGAAAAATGCTAGTCAGCTTAAGAGCACTGTCTGGAGACGGTGCTGAGTATTTCCAGCTCGTGCACTCGGAATGTTTTCTGTGACTGCTGTGTTGCTAGTCATTTCTTGTGATAAAAATTGATTTCAGTCTTCCCTTGATTAACATCTCTTCCTATCTTTAAGAGAAATCAAAACATAGTTATTATCAAATTAAGTTAGCATCAAGAAAGTTGAATATGATACTTACAGCCAAGAACTAATCTAAGAAACCTTCATGTTGCCTTTTAATTGTGTTTAAAAATTTTTTAGCATTTGAGTGGGTTCTCTGTTCACAAACTAGGAATACCAATCTGAGAACAGATGAAATGAGTGTGGGTTCTTAATTCGTGTTGTTGTCCTGAGTTCGAAATAGTTTTTATGATCAAATACCTACTATTGATACATTCCAGCATAGTAAATTGAGTTTAATATGAGAAGCCTTCTGTGTTTAGCTTTAAAATAGTACAATATGCAGTTATTTCCCTTCACTTGTCTTATACTCCATATTCTATTCTCCATATTACACTGGGGCAGCATATGCATCTGAAGAGGTGGTTAATATTTTGAGAGATCTGAACAAAGATGATAAAAACATTTTTCTTTGTATTTCTGTTGAAAACAAATGGCCTATTTCATAAAGCATTTTGTCCATTGCCAATTGTATCTTTCTTTTCTGCAGGCTGCACTGACCCTTCCACAAAGACCAATTCTTCATTGTTCTACTGTGATTCCTGTCATGGCTCTTACTTTAAAGTTTATTATGCACCTTTTCAGGCTCAAGGACTCATGGTGCTTTCTTCCTTGGATGCTGTTTATATCCTGGACTTCTCACCATGTTCGTGATGGAATTCGTCATGGCCTGTGGATCTGTCCATTTGGAAAAACTGCTCCCTTGCCATACTGGCTGTATGTAGCAACTACTGCATCTCTACCACATCTGTGTTCATTTATTATGTATTTAACAGGTACCAGAGAGCTGATGTCTATAAAACATGGAATTCACATTGATGTCTAAGAATGATGGTCCTTGGGCGCTTACAGTGAGGTGTATGTATCAGTAAAATGGATCCCTGCACATTCTTCACGACTTCAAGGTTAGGTAGCCTGAAGCTACAGCTCCAGTATGGATATGTTATAGTTACAGAAAAAGCTAATGTACAAATGGTAGTAATATCCAGGCATCCTCTTCATAAAATTGGTAATCTTGCTGCTGGTTCCTTCATAATTTCTAAAATGATTGGTCATTCTTAAATAGCTACATTTTGTTTCTTCTGCTTCTACACTGCAATATTATAGTGCTCTTCCTCTGATCATCCTCCACTTTTGAAATTGTGCTCTCTTTCAGCATTCCACTTTCGTTCTAGAATTAGATGACATTTGTACAGCACTTTCAAGATGTAAAGCACTCTCAAAATGTTATGTTCATAAAAATTCAGTTCTAAGGAATGGAATGTCCAATTGCTAGGTTTTTAACCTTGTTCATTTGCTTTATTTGAATCAAACTTTGTTGTGTTCAGCTAATTAAAATAATAATGCAGCTTGTATTTCAAGATGTACTACTGATTATCTGAAAACACTGTTAAGTTTGGACGATAACCACTGATTATTACAATATTTATTCTAAGCTCTGCTCTAGTCTAGTCTAGTCTAGTTACCCAACTGTTCAGTTCCTAAACAAATCCTGGCTAACAGTTGTATTTAGAAAAGAGAGAAAAAAGTATTCAAGAGTATTAAGTGATTATAAAAGTGTTCATTATACGAATAAATTTTAAGAATGTTAGTTTTTTTAATTAAAGGATTTTACCTAATATTTAAGCAGACTGTGTTTGAAGCTAAATCTGTTTGCTACAATAAAATATGAGCTTTAAAAATGTTTTAGTAAAGTCATAATAAAATGAAAATGGGAAATGCACCGCTGTATTAAGAGTTTACCCCACTGTGTTTGCTACGGTAGCCATAATGATCATATTTCCATCTTTAGCTACAGCTCCTCACATTACTGATGTGTAATTACTTTGCCCACATAAAAAAAAAATATCTTCCTAAAATGAACGTTCCCTTTCCTTGTAACAATGTATTTAGTAGAATTCACAGATTTGTTGGAATCTGATAGGACCACGGCGTGAGTGCTTCTGCTGTGATGTCCTCAAACTTGCAACTTCTGGGCTGTCAACTGTGCACCTGAGCACCTGCACCACCTCAGCCCCCTTAAGCAAGAACTCACGAACATGTTAGGTATCCTTATACCATAAGCTATTCAAAATGACCCTTCCTTTTAGAAAAATCTTACAGGAAATCCCTCAAGCTTAGTTGTTTTCAGTTGCTTTGCATTATAAGCAGAGAAATATTTATATAAACCAACAGCTTTCAGTTAATCGCATAGAAACAAGAAGCCAGGTTCTAAACTTCTGTAAAACTGATTTCAACTAGAGTGATATCAACTTACAGCACCTGAAAATTTGACATGAGATGTTACCTTTGTGAAAGAGTAGTTGTAAAGTTGGATTTGTTTAGAATAATAGTAACACAGTACATAATGAGTAAAGGTACATTTTTCATATTTTATATATTTTAGGGCTTTCTAAAAGTTCCACTTTGCAGCTGCTAGCTCATTGGGCTCAGGAAATCTTGCGTTCATTGCTGCTGTGAAGGTTGCCCCTTATTTTGAAGTGTCAATATCCTCTCACTTTCTCTCAGAAACAAAGACTGAGCCTTACTTGATTGTTATATATAGTATTTGGGCGTAAGAGAATAATTTTGACCTATGAGCTTGTAAAGTGAGTGCCTTGTTTAGAAAGAAAATGTGAAGGCACAGGAAGGCCTGAAAAGATTAAGCTTCTTTTGAAGCAGTTAAGTTCTTTCTCATTTACAGCCAGTAAATCCTGTGCAGAAACCAGCACTCCCAACTATTTTAGTTAGATGATTCTTTAGGGGAAGAATTAGATAGCCACCCTACTTCTACAAATGTTAATAAACAAAAAGCTGTAACTCATTGGGAAACTAAGCATCTATTTGTTTTCTCCTCTTAAAGTTTTTTTTAATGTTACAGACTACCAAATATCAGTAATTTAAATCTATGCATAAGTAATGAAAACTTGAATGAGAAAATCTATGTAGAAGCTTTCTGCTCTTGCTTCTCAGTACAGATATTTGTACATTTATAATAAGTCTGAATATAATGCACAGAAGTAAAACAGGCTTTCTATAAAAACATTAAAGGAAATAAAGTTTTAGAGAAAATTACATTTTGGGCAGAATTAAAACATTTTTGTGCAAAACACATTCCTGCCAATTTTCCTTAAAGAAGCAGTACTGTTAAAAAGTCTGGGTTTCTATTCAGTCTTTCTAGCAAAGGTGTCATTCAGTCTAAACATAGTCATTTTAAGATCAGTATTTATAAAACATTTGTCTTCAAATGTCTTAAAGGTCTTGCTGGACCTTTACCTACATAAATTAGAACAGCAATTCAAGTCTGATATAAAAAGTTTTTGTTTTATTCTATTCTGTTTGTTCTTGTACTGTCCCTCATCATGCCAGGTGATGAGCCACTGTCAGAAGCGAATTAAGCAAAGTAACTGACATCTGTCACTGGTGGCAGATTTAAAAGAAAATTTTATTTTAACTTAAATTTTAAGTTTAAGACTTGCAGTGTTTGTTTACATTACCACCAGAGTCGATTAAATAAAGTAACAAACACATCATAAAAGGAGCCTTCTGTCAAGAGAAACTAATTGAGCCAAGCTATAGCCTTCCTTTTAAGCCAACTACATGCATGGAGAGCCAAACTGTATGGTGTTACTTAATCTTGGATTTCAACTCATGTAATGAAGAGGGAATTTGGCTTTACAAGCCCAAATCATATTCCTTCTTCAGATATATTTTGTGCTGAAAATTCAAAGGCAGTTTTGTCACATTAATATGTTGTGAATTAGTCCCTGAAATGTTTTGCAAGATTCTTTCCCACTCACTCCTTTGCCTTATTTATTGCTCTCCACAAAATCCTCTTTTGTCTTTGCTTCCTTTGTATGAAGGAAATTTGTAATTATAGGAATTTCTTTTAAGATTTATGTGGCACCTGTCAGTTTTGTCTTCAAATTATGTTTTCATTTGGACCATAAGAGTGGACACTGTACTGTAAAAACACTTTTTATTTTATCATCATATTAAATTAACATTAAACTGATTGAAAAAAGTAACAGTGGTTGTGTTTATATTTATCACGTTAAGCTTAGTTCTCGGATGTCTGATACTTAATTATCACTTTCCATCTCTTTTATGCATGATCTTTTTATTCATGGATTTTTATAGTGAATAAGAAAACTCATTGTGCTAGCTACTGTTACATTCTGCAGTAGTAAGTTTTCGAGTCTTACAGTTACAGGAACTTAGCTATAGTGAGATTTCTTAATTAACTAAATGATACAAAGCACCTTGGACAGAAGCTTTAAATAATTTTCAAGGCAATGAAAAACATCAATGCCTGTAAAACCTGGTTTCTTTGTGGCAAGGGGCCTTTTGTCTAAGGAGAGCAAACATAAACCACTGACTATGTAATACCCTCCCGGACTGAATATATGTAAAATTTCCACCTAGAAATGATCCTCATTTTACAGCCTATTTGTATTTTCAGGAGTAAATTACAGACAGCTGAAACTGGCATGTTTGTGGCATGACATTTAGTGTAATTCATAACTGGTGGTACCATAAAGTATGTTTCTTGACTTGTTAGAAAGTGAGAGCTCAGTTGGTTTATGGAATTTAGCATCTTCATTCTGCAGCCAGAGTGGAAATTACACAAAACTGGACAATTTATATTGTTACTAGAATTGAGTTACCTATTGTTTATACAAAAAGGTTGGTGTGGGAACAGAGAGTACAGAATGCAATTAAAGGAAATGTAACAAAAAAAAGGTATGTGGAAAAATCAATTAGAGCTCTTGTTGTAGCAAGAAGAGTTGTCCCTTCTACTAATTATTATTATGAGGAAGGAAAATGAATTATGGCATTTATATAAAAGAAAGAAAAAAGCATGAGAATAAAAAACAAACTCCTTTTTAATCCAAAAAACCCAGATTTTAATCTGTCTTGAGTGTGCAAGGAAAGGAGAAGTAGGAAATTGTAACTAAAATGAAAGCATTATAGCTTTAAAAAACAAACTTGTGTTAAGTTTGTTTATGAAGAAAAAAGGAAAGCAGGATTGAAATAAACGGAAAACATTAGCTAAATACAGGGACTGGGAAGTCTCTTGGGAGGTTTCAAAAAGAAGAATTTTGGGTGGTTTCAAAGAGAGAATCCAGCTAGACTGCATGCAACTGTAAAAATCTCTATCGAGTCTCTTCAGAACATTTAGTTAGCTGTTTTAATTAAAAATATGTTAATATACCTGTATTTCCTAAGCTGTGCCATGCTATAAAAACTACCATTAACAGCAAATACAAAGCAGATATCCAACAAGATGTCAAATACAACTAGACCAAGATCATGTTTAGAATGTTTCCACTGACCCTTCCTTGTTAAATTCAGGGGCTTTTGAACAAGGATTTCTAAGTCTAGTAGGCGAGCCAGAAGGACTTCCCAGATCAGACACATGCCTGTGGCAGGTCTCTCTCACCCTTGCCACCCTCTTTCTGGTTTCTACACGCGGTGGTGGACAGGAGCAGCACCCTGGCGGTGTGTGTAATGTTGTGCAAGGTATTCTGGGAATTGTAGCCCTCAGGTGGCAGTGGGGTTTGCTGTTGCTGACAAGGAGGTTTTTTGCCACATTTTTTGGCACTGAAGCCCATGTTGAAAGGGTAAAAAATGCAGATTTCTGTGGCAAAAAATGGGATTAGGTCTCCCCCCAGCAGCTGCAAACTGCCATGCCACAAAACTACAATTCCCAGAATGCCTTGCATTCCAAGATAGGACAGTCTCTGTACCAGCTGCTTTTTGCAGCCCTCTGCGAGTGGAACATAAGACAGGAGGATGAGGCATCCCCTCTCTACGCTGCTTAGGTGGTGCCCAGGACATGCCCTGCTTGCTCACCCTCACTTTCCCAGGTATCTGTCACAGATCTGCATTGAACAGTTGCAGTCATAGGAGCTTAGTCAACCACAAATAAGCACTACAGGATATCTGTGCTTCTCTGCCTCTTGAAGGCTCAGATCAAGCGTAGTGGCTTAACCTGGCAGGGGAAATGCCATGTATCTGTGTGCAAGAAGGCAGTTTTCCTGAACTGCTCTTCTGACATGGTTCAGTACCCACCAAGGTGCAGCAGCTTTAAGCCCAGTTTATGGAAATGGTAGTCTCCTTCCTTGCTTGCTCTGAGGGCCTTATGGCTAAGGTCAAGCAAAACTCAGGGGCATCCAAACCCCAAGCTCCTGGGCTTGGGCCTGCAAGTGGGAAGCCTGCCAAAAATTTTGGAAACACCTGAAGCCCCAGGTATGGGTGGAGGATGTTTGCTAGTAGTAGGGCCACTTATGGTTCTGGACTCTTGGATTTGGAATTAGTTTTGGTTAATTTGGCCTTGGCTACAAATTAAATTAAAAACAAATGAACATCTGTGCTTCCTGGAACTTTAGGAATAGTGACAGATACAATAGGATTCTCAAACTATTAAGTATATATTTACCTTTTGCAAATATACATTCAATAAATCATATGAGCAATACCACAATCTGTTTCTTTAGCTGTTTCTCATAATAAAGCCTCATATCTTCCTGTAAGGGTGTAGGCAGTTCAGTTTAATTAATCCAAGTCCTTACTTGTCAAAGGACCTGGGAAAAGAGTGGAAATGTATAATCTATGTTTATGTAGATCTGAACTCAGCATCATATTGGTGACTGCAGCCTAAAATTTCTTTTGGTCTATTTAATGCCTTTATGGATCCAGCAAATGGAAGAAGTGACAACACTGGCAGAGAAGCAGTAAAAATCCATTCTGGGATCCTGCAGGCAAGTCAAAGGAGCAAAAGGTACTAATATATTAAAGTGCTGTCGACACTAACATCACTAGCATCATATAATTATCAGGTCCATTGTTAGCTTTTATAATCAGCTTTTAAGTAGTAACATTAAAATAGCCTTACCTAATTCACTTCAATAATGTGTACATTGTAAGGTCCTGAGGGCAAGAGAGAAAAGACCTGAAGAACAAATTTTGAACACATGGATCTGAGGCATAACCATTTAAATATGTGCAGCTGGGAAGATAAACTTGTATCTGAAGTTACCAAAACATGAAATGCTGCTTCTCAAAGTGTTCTAGATGGTTTATTAGCTGCTACCTTAAATACTTTACAATAATGAGTGATAAACAAGTTGTAACAGAGGTCTGGCCAAACCAGTTTGAAAATGAGATGACAGTACTAAATCTAGACTGTAAGGCCCTACTCCCACTGACTTTTTATCAGGCTCACAGTATAAGTAAAGTCAGCTCTCAGTCCAGGGACTTTTTTTCTCAGTCATACTCTCCAGGGCCAAGTACAGACATTTGGGAGAGTAAATTAGGTTCAAAATAGCCAGCTTATTTAAATTTAGTTCATCCCAGTGTTGACCTTACACTTACAGACCCAGTCTCAGGGTGCCTAGACACAAGCAGGGAAGCTGTTCTGATGCCCTGTAATTACAGCATGTCAGAGCAGACTCAATCCAGTCTGCTAGAGAGTAGTAATTACTGTGCTCTAGCAGCCTCCCACTTGTTGTGTATCAGCATCCCCGTGCTTCAAAATGGCAGCGAGGGCACTTTATTTAAAGCTCGTTTGACAATTTGAAGTGTGAGGACACTGATACATGAGATGCTCTAAGCACTTTAATTAGAGCAGCTCTCAGAGCTGCTCTAATTAAAGCGTTCCCCTGTCTCACCTCTGAAGCATGTGTATAAATGCCCTCAGACCGGCAGTCTGTCTAAACCTGTAACTGAGCAGCAGTTCCATGCACGCAAACAGTAAAAAAATTGCAGAACCCAGTTTAAGATAAACCTGGATCTGTGTAGTATCAGACTCATTTGATTTAGGTCAAACTGGTTCATGGAACTTCTGTCTATTTCCCCTGGGAGTCCTGGAGCTGGGAAAACCCAGTCACTGGCCCCAGCCCTAGGGTTGGTCTTTTCACTCCCCTCTTCCCCCGCACTGGTCAGTTTTTTGCTCCCCCCAGCCCCTTTCTCTGCCCCTGCAGCCTACACTGTGAACCCTCATCCCACAGGCTGCTCTGGGTGCAGTCACTTTTATCAGTGTTTGCCAATGCCAGAGCCGAGCAAGTAAGTCCCAGTGTGGGCAGGGATGGAGGGTGTAGGTTCTCTGGGGGGGAACCCGACCCCACTCACAGGTTGTGCCTGTGGCGGGTACAGAGATCCCACCTCAGGAACACAGCTGGGTATTCGTATCCCTCCGCTGTTTCCACCACGTGAGGCGGGCCAGTAGGGGGTGCTCCTGCATTGAGCCGCCCACCTCCCTGCGCCCGACCACCTTCCAGGCTCCGAATGCCTCCCTAGGGGCGCCTTATGTCCGGCCGACCCCTCTCCCGGAGCACACTCGCTAGTCTGGGGGTAACGTGCCGCCACCACCCCAAGAATGGACTGTCTCGCGGCCCTGTGTCCTTGGGGTAACACAGGCCTAAAGTCCCACGGGTACTCAACCCAGTACAGGCACTTGGGGTACTTCCCCAAGTCCGGGGGCAAAAAGGTATAGTCTCCCTTAGTCCACAGACCTAAGGGGTCTCTTAGGCATAATTTAGACCCACCCCTCAATAAGTCTCCCACACCAGTCAAAAAGGAGAACTTTATTGATTACAGGGGGTAGGGTAAACTAGGGTACAGGATAGAGCAATATCTAGAAATCCTAAAGAGCAAACAGTCTGGCTGTGGTAGCCTTTTGATTACGCATCTGTGATACTTCCAGCTAAATATCTAATCAGATTGAGTAGCTTACTCACAAGCATCTTCCAAAGGCAGGTGAAGTTTCCCTTTGGAGGCAGGCGGTTCCTAGCTCGTGAGTTTGGGGGGAGAGAGCCAGTTTCAGATGTTAAGGCTTCTCTGTCCCCTGCCTGGCTGCTGCGTCACCTCATGGCCGGAGAGGAGAGACCGCCTCCTTCCCCGTCCTAACTTATATAGCCCCTGTGACCTCATTCACCTGGGCCAGCGGAGGTCAGCCCCAGTTGGCTGTCAGCCAACCAATCTGAAATGCATCACCTGTTACCGGGCAGATTCCAGCTCCCCAGGT